CCCCAGGGCTGATAAACTTTGATCCTGGAAACCACAAAATCATTAATAGGAGCGGCGTATCACCTGGGAACTAGGCTTTAGCTCCTGGAGCTACTTCCTTATCCTAGTAAACTAATCTGCTCCTGGGATCTTCACTACGCTGTCAGAGATCGAGTATATATAGTAGCTTGGGTGTTTGGTCGCTGATTAAACATTGTGCTTTTTTGGCCTGTTAGCCTAGTGGTAAAACCCAAGCAACCGCATCCCTGACATACGCTCCTAAATAAATACGAAATTGGTTTGGGGAACCCATTGCCTGGGCCCAGGAGCCGTTATACTCCTAGGGCCGTATCTCTGAATCCTGGAGTCTACGTTCTGCCTCCCAGGGTAGGTTGTTAACTCGCAAAAAGCTTCCACCAGACCTACGTACAAATTCTGAGACATTCGACCACTTCCAGAAGGCTTAGCCATAGCCCCGGGAACCGTACTTGATGTCCCAGGACTTGATAAAACTGTCAGCAGGAACATGACTTTGGTTTCCCCGCGGTGGAGGTACAAGACCCCAGAAGTTACGTTGGGCTTCCTGGGGGCTATAGGGCTCCTAGAAGCGGCGCATATGTCCCCAGAAACGTTCCAGAGGCTTCCGGGAGCGAGAGAACTCCCAGTGCCAAGATGCGTGATCCTAGCATAAATAGTAACATTGACAGAAACATGCCCAATCCTTGATAGTGAAAATGGATAGAATTACAGGGTACGTACGCTTTGTGGGGGTATGTTACATCCAAAGTCCTTGTTTTGAACTCTTCACAAACACCTAGTTGGTGGATGCTTACACAAACGGATGGTTGGTCAACGGCCCCGCAAAATTTATCCAATGTCTTGGACGTAAACCGGCTCCTGGAATTACCTAAGCTCCCAGGAGCGCTTTCTTTATAGGAACTTACCTCATATCTTGTGGTATCGGATTACTCGCTGCAAATAGCCATATCAGTGCATCTTGTGGGAGAAACTTGACCCGGAACCAAGGCCGCAGGTGTAGAAACACATAAATACAGGTACCCCGTCCTACCCTTTGCATATTTGCTATCCGTGATATCGCCCGACCCATTTCCTCCACTGACCGGTCTACCATTCCTTGACAACAGAATCCAACAGCCTGTGCTCTCATTTGACAATGTCGTTCGATTTTACTTCAAACAACCAATACTTCCAGGTGGGAGTCAACCACGGTAATATTTATACGTGTACCGACCCGATTTCAATCACTCATTCGCTCATTGCGGGTTTCAAACTACCTTTGTATCAGGCTTTGAACAAAGCTGAAAGATGCTTAGACATGGTGCAGGGCGCAGCGTCTCAGAACAGCCAAATTGTTGGGGCTGTGGAGCGCCTGCGTAGCCTTCTTCTGGAAATCAGAGAAGTCGACTCTGAACAGTGGGGATCTCTGGAAAGCGGAGTTAAAACAGCTGTCTATTCACTTCTGTACTGCTGCATCTCAGAATGCTACGACTTCAAATCTACTCCGCTGGCAATCTCGTCTCTATGCGATGAAATTGACGCCTTCAAATTGGCTCTCCAATGCGTGTATGGCGCAGCTATGATGTATTTTCAGTCTATCTACCCGGCGCTCACAGTATAAATATTCTACCCAGATCAGCATTCTAGGGATTCAATGACAGGAGATGGATATATTCACAGCAACAGAAAGCCGCGGAGGCCATCGAGCAGATAGGCAACGAAAGAGCCAAATATCGGGACTACATGAAGCGACCCGGGCCGGCGAGATACCATTCACGTGCGCTTCTTGATCTGTTGAAGGAGAATCGGGTGCCAAATCGTGCGGCGAGGCTTGGGGGCATGCATGTGAGCTTCGCCGGAGAGTATCATGGAAGGGCGGAACCTTTTACATTTGTTCTCCAGATGACCTGGGAGATTTGAATAACCTTGGTGAGATATCCATGTTTCATGCTACATATGGGTGAATCTGTAAATATATGTTTGTTATCTGTATGGCCAGGCATAGAAAGCACAAGCCCGACACAAATTTCACTTTCTCCATGATTCTAACCTTGAGAGATATGTATGCCAAGTACAGCACGATATCAGACCCAACTAGCCCTAGAAGCAATAAAGCTTCTTGAGACAGTAATGGCTCGGTGCCTGTCTGGCACCACCGAGATTAAATCCTACAGGTCCTATACGTAGCAAACTACAGAGCACAGCGAAGCACAAGTTACTTCACTGGATGCATTGATTTTACTTGTTCACACTAGTAGGATGGTGAATTGATATAGCACCTGCGACCCTGGACAGGGGGACCATGAATCAGGCCATAGAGGGCCTGTAGGCACAGTTGGGTAGATGTAGCCCGACTATACCGAAGACCGGCAGATTTCAAACTCAGCTTTCTATTTCTTGATCTGAGATGGATTATGAGCATTTTTAGCCAGGTGGCAGATTTAGGAAACGACAAGATTTCTAGCAAGATACAGTATGTGGCCCTGGCTCTTGAGCGCATTAAATTGGACTCTCAACATTGTTCTTTGCTCTGCGTCTTTTTTAGGGTTCAATATTTCACCATTCCTAGGAGCCACAACAAGGCATCAACAAATTTGGCAAAACGAACGCGTGGCTTTCAACAGGCCTCATATAGTTCAGGCACTCCGGGCCCTTAGTTTTCTGCTACCCAACAGATCTTCAATTGACCAAACAATCCTACAGGACTATATATTCCTCGACCCCGACGCCTTTATATTTTATAATTTTCAAACTACTCGACAGTCGAGCAGGGTTTGTGTTCGACAAGACCTGGAAATTCTTTCCCTTGTTGATCAATTCATTTTGAACCTCTGCGAGCTTTTCATTGAGCCTTGACCAGAACAGTCTAAGCTCCTCTTAATATCCTCTCTCGCTCTTTTTCTCCAAGTGTGATTGCCTGCATGAGAATGAAACCCACCTCCGGCCGTTCAGACATTGGCCCCGAGTTTGACCGCCTGAAAAACATCAAGAGGATTTCCCTCAATGCAAAACTCGTGGCTTTTGTCGAAAAAGCTCAATCGTCGCTTCAGTCACGAGGACGTTTCAAGCAACGGGATTGTTACAAGAGATCTCTCCTTCATTACGCTGCCATGGGGAACTGTACAACCCTTCTTCAGCATCTTCTGCACAGCAAGCCGAATATTGATTCTCGTGACCAGTGGGGGCGGACACCACTCTCCTGGGCTGCTGAGTATGGCTCATTGGCTGTTGCAGAAATTCTATTGGAGCAAGGAGCAAACATCAATGCATTGGATTACGAGGACTGCTCACCGTTGACGTACCTTATACACGCCGCGAACCCTGAGATTGGAAGGCACGAGGACACTATGGCGTATTTTAGAGAGAGAGGCGCGAAAGAAGGGAAACTGAGAGGCATCAAGCTCGCTTGGGTCTGGGTTTTGACCTATTCTCACTTACTCCGACACGTTCGCCCGCGTATCTAAGACTCCCGATGGCATGGAGCCAGCTGATATTGTGCTCTACTATTGCGGCCATCAGACGAGGGTCATAGTTGTGGAAGCGGGCTTTGCGAACACTCTTGTTTTATTTTTAATTTGAATTCAGTATTTTCGAGGTGGAAATGGAGAACAATAAGGCAGATTTGCGCGGAACCTTTTGAAGATCCGTATGTATTTACCAGTAAACATCATATCATTGCATGGCAGTCCAAGACAGCAGTGTAAGAAATACGTGTGCTAGTTTTTCTTTGGCCCGTAAAGAGTCTGTTGTTTTCGACCCGAAACTGTCTACTAGAGGGCTTGGAGTTCATGACGGTTTGCGTCGACCATTTTCATCAATGTGTCAACTAGAACTAGGTCTTTAAATTCTGTTTACTATGGAAAAGCCCCTGGGCAATACTTGGAAGCAGAACAAGACGACATATTCATTATTTATTCTTTCAAGACTGTAAAAGAAAGTTAGCTTGTCATATTATAGATGAAACGGCACATGTCATGGAGCTAGCTCCGTGTCTGATAGACTATGCCAAAGCTTCTCTGAGGTAGGGTATTATGCACTTTATGACCAGCCTATTTTCCTGGCCTGAACCAAAATAGACCATAATGGTGAAGACCAGAAGAATTTCACCACTCTCTTCTTGAAGTAAAACATACACTAGAATCCTTGAGTACGTTTCGGATGGGCTACTGTACAGCGATAGTAGTCAATGCCATACGATCCTTGATCATTTACCGTGATGTGCCTTCTAGGGTCTCGCAGTTTTGCTGTTTACTGTAATTCAAAAATATGGTGCGTGTTTTCATATTACTGCATCACTTCGTTGGTGCTTCTAAATATTTCCACCTCCTTCGCGGCCCAAATATTCTCATAAACAATAGATGCTTCATTCTGGTGACCCAAAAGACGATGCGAGTTTTATTTTATAAAGACCGAAGAAAATACGTGAATGATCTTTCTCTTGATCGAAGCCCGTGTAGCACCTCTCTTCGTTGCACCATTCCTTCTCAGATAATCTATTGTGGCTGCTTGATTTGGGCCCCTACCCGCTTCTATCAGCCACGAGAATGGTGTTATATACATATCGTCCATGGAGTTAATGTCCACCCCATTGTCCAGCAAAAGCTTCACCGCACGCAATGCACTGTATTGCGCGGCCCAGGAGAGAGGCGTTCGCTTGTTCTGATCGAGGTCATCTTTTGCTGTCCCATCTTGGAGGAGATAAAGAAGGAGCTCGACACAGTCACCCATTGCAGCATAGTGAATGAGAGACCTTTTGAAAGGTCCTCGCAGGTTGTATATCCCTTTGTATGTGATCGTTGCCTGCGCGTCTTGAAGAGATGCGATGACATCTTCATCGAGGCAAATCTCTCTGATACCTTTTAGGCGTTGAAATTCATCATCAATTATAGTCATGGAGCAAGGAGGACTTGACATAGTGATTGTACGTCTTTTTGGAAGGTCATATGAAGAGAGACCAGAGGGCGATTTGCTCATTAAGGAGGTGCAAAGATACAATAGCTACACTATGCCAGAGGCCGATAAGAACCCTCAAACTCCATATATGCCGACGTAATCTCCGACAAGTCGAGATCCTCATTCTTCTCTGGTTCAATATCAATCTGCCACACCGCAAATGGTCCTACCAAAGCATAATCATCATCATCATCCAGCCGGCCAATGATACCGGGCAATGTCCCAGGACCTTCGTACTGTTTCGTCAGGATGTTGTATCTGAATAAGACAGCAACCGTCTCATGGGTAAACGTAATCTCCTTGTCTTTAGTGTCGGCAATGGTCTCTTCGCCCATGTGCCTCAAGGTAATATGCAGATACTTATTCTTCGTCTTCGCTCCCGGAAGAAATAGACGGACTTTGGTCAATCGGATATCCATCATGTCAACAAATGGCGACGGGTGATGGTCGCAGTCCCCATCTGGCGTGGGAATGGTGACGGGACAGGAAGGTCCATCCGTTCCACTCGCTTGGATAAGGCGAAAGTCACTCTCTGGCAGCTCATATCGAATAGTCGGAAAAGGAACCGCGGCTTTCTTCTGCGCTTGTATGTAGCTCGTATGTGCATCATCTAATGTGGTATAGGCTGCACTCAGCTGCCCATATGTGTACTGAGAGGTGTCAATTGTGTTGAAGTAGCTGGCCAGGATGTTGTTCGAGTTGAGGGCGGCAAAGTTGTATGCCCGCTGGGCGTGGTATAGCCAAGATTGGAGTTGCTTGACCGCAGTGAGATAGGCGTTTTTCATCGCGACAGTCATCATGGGATTGTCCATTCCGAAAGACACTTTTTCCATCTGCGAAATGTTTGACTGGGCCTGATCTAGCCCTGCGTTTTCGGTGACGGCTTTGGCAATCACCACGAGGGCTGCGTTATATCGAAGAACAGCCGCATTTCGTTTGATGACAAGATCTATTTAGTTAGTATACAACATCAATAGAGAGAGGATGACTCACCAACGTAGGTTCTAAACTTTGCTTTAAGCTTGCTCAATGTATCTGGGGGCAGTGCATTCTCATACTCGCTCAGAAGAGCATTCAGGTGTTCTTCAGTGATCTGCAGTTTGGCAGCCCCCGGATCAAGCAAGTCTATCGTGCCATCCTTGCTCACTTTGTATGCTTCGTACAAACTGTCAAGATTGCCGCTGATGTTCTGCACCTGCTTGATCAGATAGTCCTTGTTGACCGACACTCCGGCATCACCAGGTATTTCCGTCAGTCCTTGATGAAGCAGGCTCACACCCTGCAGTTGAGCCATCCCAAGTTTTCCCATTCCTGGTACCATGATAATCTGCCCAATAGCTTCGAATATCTGTGCAGCCTGAACATTGAAACCATATTTAATCTTCACCATGATATTCTTAGCCGCGTCTTGAAGACTCATGCTTGCGGCTTGCATGGGTTCTGTGAAGGTGTGGATCTTGAAGATGTTGTCTGCAAGGTCGTCCTTGGCGTTCTTGATCATTGCATTGTTAGATGCCTTGGCTGACTCGCTGGCTGTTCGGCTGTGGTTGATATAGTATCCCTTTTTTGCGGCCTCATTGGCGGCCTCAAGGTAGGCATTATAGGTAGTCTCTGCCTCCTTGACAGCTTTCAACTCCTTGTCGATTGTCTGCTCAAAGCTTTTGAAGCTACCTCTTGGGACACGGTTGCGATCATTACCATAAAAGTCTTTGCCAGAGTTGAACATGGCTAGAACGGCTGTTGCCTCCATCTTGATGGCACGGAGGCTTTGAATAGATGCAGGTTCCTTCGTTTCTGGGCCACTGGGGATGAATAGACGAGGTTCAGCATCGCGATATGCTTTGACCAGGTTAGTCTCCGAACTAGCTGTACCGGGAGGCTCGAAGTCGAGAAATTGCAGCCTTGATACAAGTCTTTCCAGGAAATCCTTGCTCTTGGCCAGGTCGTCTGCACCATCGACATAGTAATGCAGCTTGGCCATGTCCAGAAGCATCCGGCATTGGACGGGATGGACAAAACACAGGTTGTTATTCCAGATGGTTTCCACATCGGTGGCCGACTGTATTCTATACTTGCCATCCACTCCAGGCCGTCCATCAGCCCCATTCTCCTTGCTGCCGCGAGATCCTCGTCCGCCATAACCGCCCGTGACTCCGGCAGTCTGGGTTAAAGCCGAGTACACACTTTTATCGAGTATTTTCAAAGCGAAAACGACGTTCACCAGTACCTCCTCAAAGGCACTTTGAGGGCCTTTTAAGGACTGTTTCAATTTATCCAACTGCGACCGTGGAACAGTGTGAACCTTATCACTATTGCACATGCCGATGAGATCTGAAGTCCTCTGGTCGAAATCATCAGGGAATTTTATCTCTGACTTTGCAAGATCGGTCAAGAGAGTTTGTGCCAGACTAACAGGAGCAGTGGCTACACTGGTGTAGACAATTGCGATGTCTCCCCCTGCGCCGCCATTCCCACCCGCAGCGCCATGCTCGGCATCGGCTATGTCATCGGGGCTGTACCCCGCGCCTCCGCATACTATTCACATGAGCAATAGCCTATGGGTGTCCGGAGATGCTTACCGTTGAACCGCAGCCCTTTGGCTGTTTGCTCATCGAGTTCCTCAGCGAAAAAGCCTAGCACTCCTCCCCGATAACCATCGTTGACAAGGTATGTGTCTTGTGGCTTGGTTGGGTTATCCACATACTTTCCTCCGCCTCCGCCTGGAACACCCACGTTAAGACGAGGGTCATCGTCATTTCTCGGTGGAATGGAAAATTGGGTTGCAAAAATCCCTAGTCGGGATGGGGTTTTATTATGCTTGTTTATCGGCTCGACATGGTCTCCCAGTAGGAACTTTTCAACATAGACATCGAGTGAGACTGCGTTGAGGGGATAGTTGCGAGTATACTGAGCGACCGAGATTATTAACTGCGGATCCTCAGGAGGATAGATAATGGTGTCTGGGTTGGGGGGAAGGGGCGCCATAGTGTTGAGTTGATGAAGTCTTGTCGGGGGAGGAGGGAAACGGGATATGGTCTTTGTTGAGAAGCGGAGAGCTGTAAGGATTCATGCAACTCGCCCCAAAAAGCAATTGATGTCCACTCTAGAATTCACACTGAGCTGAAGCAATGTTCTTCCGCTTGCTCTACCAGCCAATCACTGGCCAAGCCATCCCTTCACGATGTGATGAGCTGAGATTTTATGCACGCTGATGTCAATCTGTATACCCCGCCCTTTTCAGCTATGACTGTTGGCCACTCATATGGCAAGTCAATCAGATCGGCACTCTTTGACCCAAGGTTGCCGTGCTTCAGCTGAGAAAAATTCAGCTGCTGCCTGCTGCTGTTACAGGATATTCAGCTACACAAGAGTCCAGCCGTGCTAAGTGATATTTCTAAATGATATAAAGACCCGTCCAACAACCTGCAAAAAAGATAATAATCGAAAGAAAACTACACGATCTCCAAGGTTCACAATGTCTGCTCAAAAGTCCGTACCCGAATTCCACGCAGCCGTCCAGAACGTCAATGCGACCGATGGATGGGACGTCATGGTCTCCTACTCCCAAGACCCGCTGAATGCTCTCCTCCAAGAGGCCTGGGGCAAGTGCCCCAAGTTCAGCAATGTCTCCTTCAAACATAGCGAAACGATCAACAAGGCCACTAAAATAACCATGATTCGTGATTTCACTCTGGATCTGTCCTCTCCTGTCCTTCAATTTGACGCTTCGGAAAGCCAGTCCAGGGCTATCCTCGTCATGGTCATTAATGGATCATACAAGACTACCGTGTTCCAGAATGAAAAGCCAATCGGACAACCAGGAACGGATCACATCGCCAAAGATGCATATCAGCTGAAAGTCTTCCTGCCCATTGCGGGCATCAGTGGAGATACTGTGCACAAGGTATGTACACATCTACCATCATGCAGACCATCGCTAACAGTCATAGCCCGGCAATGTGATCAAACTTGACGAAAAGAAAACAACAGAAGTTGCCATGATCTTTCACTTCGCAAATGACGAGGCGGTCTATAAGATGGAGAAGGCTGACCAGAAAAAGCGCGAGAGCGATGACCTGATGGACACCATCACAGCCGAGATCCAGGGCTGGTTCCAAAGCAAGAACCATGTCGATTGGATCGATATCAGCATTTCCAAAATCTCCAACCAAAGGCCTCTCTCAGGAGACACGGAAACGCTACGCCCCCGCTCCTTCGTCATCAGGTCACAGCCAGGCTATCTCAATGTCTTCATTGCCACCAAGAATAAGCCAGGAAGGCCCCATCCACACTTCGAACATAAGGGAAATGATGAGCTAGCACCGGTGCCGACTGGCTTTGAGGCCAGCATCTTCATCTCAAACAAGCTCTTCGTCAACTTCTTAGCCGAGCAGTTCAAATACAACTTTACCGGACTCATCAAGTCCATTAAACCCGAGGCGATTGAAGGTGGAATGGGACTAGTAATCCAGATGGGCGACCCTCCGAGTTGGAACATCGGCAGCACAGGAATTGAGGATTACAGCATTCCAGAGTTCAGTGTCGACTTTGATGCCTACCCGGTCACTGTGAGCGTCAAAGATAATTCCAGCTTGGAAACGATTCCGAAATGGTCCTGGGCGCCAAAGACTGACGCAACCTGGTACTTGGTGGATAAGCGAGTGCCGGAACTTATCACATACGAATGGGGTACAACCAGGATCTCCGGGTCTTTGGAAGAGGTAGGTCTGGACATATCTTACAATGGCGGGGAAACCGCTGACGTATAATAGACTGGCAAGCTGTGCGGCAGTATCGACGGAGATGAGCTACAACTATCGATTGCCCTTGATAACGCAACCAGTCTTCCCACCATGTCCTACACGGCCAAGTGGGTTGAGGGCAATGGTGGACGTTATGGTTATGTGGCAAAGCCATATGATGTTCCGGATACCATTCGCAATCAAGTGAAGTTCAGGCTACCTGCGCCACTTAAGGCACAGCTGAAGGGACTCAATTTTTTCTCTGCGCAGAATGTATTCGTCCCGGGTGTGAGGTTTATCAAGGCAACGACCCAAATCATGCCGACAGATGTTGTGCTTCTCGGCACAATGCCACGTAGTACTACGCATACGGCCAACCCAGCTGCTATCGTGCAGTCGTTATCCGCACAGAATTTAGCCCTGCGCTTCATGGATGAGATATACCACAACGCTTACTTTTTGGGCGATCTCATCAACGCAAACGTCAAGGGAGATGCCGGTACGGTAAAGGCAGTACTTCATAAGAGGGGCTATGCCGACGTCACTGCTCAGGATCTGGAGGTCCTGCGCGACTATGTCACCCCTGGTCCAAATTTCGATCTTCGTTATGCTGGAGGCGCATACAGCGTGGACAGTCCAGGGTATACCGCGAAGGAGCTGCTAGTTCACTCGGTTCATCGAACCATCTACAGTATGTATATCCCACCCTTGCCGATTCATGAGCTAATCGAATAGTCGACGGAACACCTGTGGAATCGCAAAAAACGCTAGGAGATGGATCCGTCACCTTCATATCTAGTGATAGCCAGCAATCCTTCCACATCACCTTTACTGTTCCGTTCGATGTGCAAGGGGAAACAGGTGGTAAATCATTCATCGGTTCAACCTGGGCGACTGCAAACCCCGACCAGAAAGAGCAGATACAAGGCAGGCGTACCTTCCCCTGGGATGGTAGATCAGACATCGGCACGAGTCTGGCTGCATCGGCAAGAGATGATGAAGCTCTGAAGTTCCTGCCGTTGGCGCTTGATCTGACCACTCCTCACGACCCTCAGGAGTTTCGCGCAGTTGATATTACCTCAGTCGCAGCGGGATTCGCAATTGCAGTGAATGCAGTCACATCGGCAAAAAACCTGAAGGCTGGTTGTGTCTGGGTTTCAAAGGTGGTGATGAAAATGGCCGGAATCAAGTTGAGTCTTTCAGTGCCTGGGTTACTGGACCTGGATAAGATGGCAAAGGAATTTCCAGTCAAGGCAGAAGAGGCCGTTAACAAGACCATCAACCAGGCCATCGAGGAAAAAAAGAGAAAAAAGGAAAAAATTGTACTAGACCCGGTTGTGATCGGCCAAGCCGCGAGGCCAAAGATACTGGAAGAGATGAAAAAATACATGCACAGCAAGGTCGATGCAAAGGCCGTGAAAGATTACGGGGCTGCGTATGGTCTCAGTGCTTTGAATACTACCAAGATGGCGCATGAGGCTGCTGATACACAAGCAGCGAATGTGTTTGACGGCGAACAGTACGGCTCCTATTTGGACGCCATGGTCGATCGCGCAGTAACTACCCGAAGAATGGAGAAGGCTTTGGAAAATAAGATTAGTCTTGACGAGGAAATCAGGGAGGCCAAGAATCGATTCCTTCAAAACAAAGAACTGAAGAAAAACCAGGAGGCGGATCTGGCAGCGAGAGAGAAGGAAGCAAAGAGAGATAACATGCCCGAGGAAGAGTGGAATGGTATCAAGGAGAAATACGAAAGGCAGATCAAGGAGATTGCAGACAAGATTACAGAGGACGAAAAGGAAATCAAAAAGAACGAGGAAAAGTCTAAAGGATACGACGAGGCGTGGAAGGACTCGAAGGAAAATGAAAAGCTAAAGAAGGAGCTGGAAAAGAAGCGAAAGGAAGAGTTCTGGAAGCATCGCAAGGAGCATCCCGCAGAGCCATACCATGGATAGATGGATCTGTTATCTATTTATCAGTTTCTAGTACCCGTCCGTGCCTGGAAGAGTACACTACTCTATCTTCTCAAGGTCGTTGAAGACTATCTCTGAGAAACTGCGACGAGATATGTATGGCTTAATTATGCCTGGGATCCCGATTGACCAGGTTGAACAGCCACATCCTGATCCGCTAGCCGCAGTGCGTTACCTCTATGTATTTATTGGATTTAGCACTTTCAAGAGTGCTATCCTCCTAAGAACGCAAAGAATGACCTCCAGGAAAGTAGCTTAGTCGGAATTTTCTTCCGCCAAGACTACCTTCATTGGCTCGAGGCTCTTAGTCTGTCGAGTAGCTTATCTGAGGGGGTAGCTTCGATGTTGAAATTGGAAAGTTTTCTCAAATTATGGTTTCATGTGTATGTACTCACTCCACAATAACTACACGTTTAGCACCATTTTGTTAGGTCCAAGGCTCATTTTCTACTTAAGCGGTGAGAACAACATCTCTATCAAGTATTCGAGATGAGCATAAATGGTTGAGTTTGAATTTCTTTTTTATCTTATTTTATTTTATTCTATTTTATTAGGGACCGCGTTCAGTCATTCTCGAAATCGGCAACTGCGCTAAGCCCTGATTGATGGCGAATCTTTGATACCCAATGATCTCGATCAAGACATCAAAGAACATGAAATAACAGCCCTCAATTTTTCGCGGCCGGCCCAATAAATAATCCGAGCTAAGGTCTTGGCCGCAGTTCTAGCCAAGGGCTGAATGGTGTGCATTGGTCAAGCCAATGTCGAGAATGGTTGCAGAGAGTTGTGCCTCAATCTCATGTCTGATGGAGGGCGTAGGGGAGTGAAAAGTATGTTATCAGCAGGGTGGGGAGAAAATAGTAAGTCAACTAGTCAACAACTTGAGTTACGATGATGAGACAAAAGTGAGTCTTAAGGGGGGGTATTAAGGATAACCCGAGATGCCCAAGGCATGTTGCGCTTGGTGATTATGGATGTTGTCGCCAATTCTGTGATTATATGCAATTAAATCTCGTAAAGAAGAAGCTTATATTCCTACGTTCCCCTGAATTTCTCTTTCCTTTCTTCGTGACCTTTCGGGCTCTTAGAAACATTTGACCGTTAACCTTGAGCTCATCGCCTTCGAGCCTCCTTCTTCTCGGACATTTTAAAGATGTATCCTTTATCAATTGCAAGTCTAGTTTTTTTTCCCGCATACACTTCTAGAGCCGGAATTCTTGAAGTCATAGATTACGGTCGCCAGTGGTTTGATATGGTCCAACGGCAACTATGGCTGCACGGGATACTCTGCATCTTTTGCCCCGCTAGATGGGGATGATTGTTCAAGTACCTATAACCATCACACCTAGAATAAAATTCAGTTGCTAACAGTTTACTAGAGCACAGTGAGCAGCACTCTGCGCTCAGAGTTGATGTATGCGGCACAGAAAATGGCTCATCGGTTGCTTGGGTACAGATAAACCACACGGGTCTGGTTACTTTGTTCAATAAAGATGGAAACAACTCGTCCTGCGTACTTAATAGAGGGCTTAAGGCTGGTAGTTGGTGCAATGCATCTGAATCAGAAGCATTCAGAAAGCACTTCTCCGCAGTGGCTTCTGCTGTCAACAAGTCACTGCCCGCCACTCCATCTACCGCTCCATCTACCGCCACCACGAAAAAAGTCCCCAAACTGTTCTTTGTCATGTTGTGGTTTATCCATCGTCTACTATAACCACTAGCTGTTCATCTGTATAATTAAGAGAGATAAGCAGAATCGGAACCTTGACTATGAAAATTGTTGTTGTTCAGAGGTACAAATTGAGTTATTATCTCGGAGGGATACATGAGCCTATATATACAACAATTACCCAAGTTGATTGGAAATCAACTTGGTCGTCTGTATAGATACTTCGGATCTCATTCCGACGGCGCGGCTTGGTTCCTGATCTGCACCAGCCTCATATCACAACATTCCCCCTCAGGATCGCTTTGCTGGCAAGGCGTTACTGGATCAACGCTGTGCATGCAAGCTTCGGTAAACCATTCAAAAACCTTGGTGGGCAAATAAAGTGGAAAGAGCGCCTGCGCTGTCACGTTCGTTGCCTCCGAGTCTCCAAGGCTTCGATTCCTAGAAGACTACAGAACTTGGCAATATCCGTAGGTTCCAACGGCTTCATGAGACCGTCATCGGCCTGTTCCTGAGTAGGAACATATTGAAGACCAATCTCGCCAGCATTCAGCACTGCTCTCTGATGGTGGAATTTCACGTTGAAATGTTTGGTCCGTTTGTGGAACTCGGGATTGCGCGATAGGGCAATAGCGGACTGGTTGTCAAAAATGACGTTGGTGACCGGGGACCGATACATTTGCATTTCTGCTAGGCAGGCGCGGAGCCACTGCAGATGTAGCGAAGCAACCGCTACAGAGTGACTTGGTGGTGCGATTGCGGCTGGGACGTGAAGCGACTCAACGTGCCCAGCGCAAACGCAATATCCGGTCGCGTGCCAATCATAAGATATATCAAAGAACTAATGGCAGTCGCATAACGAGCTTTTGCTTCCTCGTCCAATGGTTCCTCCTCTGGACGATGATTCGGAATTTGCTTGGGATTCGTCGGGGTAGTCTTCGTTTGACAGGTTTCCATACCAAATTCAGCAAGAATCTTTTGGATGTACTGGTGTTGATGAAGAGATATGACTCCGTTCGCATGGTCGTCGAATTGAATCCCAAGGAACGAACGCGGGGTTCCCAGGTCGTTCAATCAAAACTCCCTTTCCAATGCTCGTTGTACTTGGTTGACCTCGTGCAAGTTTGCTGCAGCAATGAGAAAGTCATCGACGTAGACATAGATCACACAAGAAAGATCCTTAGGAAACACAGTTGTCAGACTGAGTCATGGTGAAACCATAAGCGGCCAGCACAAGGTGGATGCATGGCTACAGCACCTGCGGAGCTCTTTGCGCCGTATTGAGGTTGCGAAGGTATGTTTCATCTCACAGAAGGTCATGCCAGACCGTCTACTCGAGTGCAGTAAGGATGTGACACATACCCAGTAGATCTGTCGCATCTGGTGCGACCGCAAATTTCGTAGCCTCGGTGGCACATTTGACAGCTTGTTATGTTTCTTTCAGCTATTGTCAAAATCCAAACCTAGCAGCTTGGCTGCTAGATCGAGTGATTCTAACGCAGATATTGTAGAGCTGCAACATGATCTTTAGGCGTCCAGATTGTGATAGAGGAATGTGAGCCTTACATATAGCCCGTCTACGATAGTTATGACCTTGCGCGACACCATATTTTACCTATCACATTCAACATACCCGCAACGGTATGGGTTCTGGGCAATTAGTATTGAGTACTGAGTAGTATCCATATATTCTGACCCAGGTATATTACATACTGGTACTTATATATCACGTGGCTTAGACGCCATTGGTCTGACTAAAGTACGAGCTCTAAAGTTTACTAGTTTTAAGGCGTCCACCTGGACCCTGATTTGGGCACCTGGCAGGCTGGAGATCAATACCATTCCGCAACACCTATATATATTACACACTGGCACATGCTATACTACCTGTAGTACATTCCCGAAGTTAAATGTATAAATATTCACCAAGATCTCACCTCTATATTCTTTTTCTATCTTGGGAAACATCAAGTTAATTCTCAATCCCACTCAATCAGCGAAGATGAAAGTATACATTCCAGCTTTCGGACTGATGGCATTCGTCACCTCCCAAGCCATTGCTGCACCTACAGGTAAGAACCTCCTCTTAGGATGCGTCTCTTCGTACCTTGATTGAAATTTTGATAAACCGCATTTGAAGGCACCGACCTTCAGGCCCGCGCCCATTATTGCGTTGATATCAAAGTATGACACGACTACAATTGGGGGGGGGGTGGCTGCTACAAAGAATGCAAGAAGCCTGGTGTGATGCACGAGATAGAGAAAGAATTCAAGGGAAATGTCGGCTCAATCAAAGTTGGAACCAAGGGTTATGATTGCTCATTCGGATCGTGAGTGTCATCCAGATTATTTCAGCATAGAGTTGACAATTCTTCAGGAACGGTCAACCGGGCTGAAGTGGCGGAACAATACCCGTAAAGTACCTGGAACAAAAGTACTTGATCGTGGATGGATCAACAATCTCAAAGCATACTATTGTACTAAGTCGTGATAGTAACTGCTAGTAGTTATCTGGCTCTCACTAGTTCTTTTCGGCCATCCTCTTGTGTCACGATGCACTTGGCTGGAATGAGACTCCAAAGATCCAGGTCGTTCAATTGAGACGCTTCAGCTCTAGAGCCTGAGGTTTTCGGAGTGCTAGATTATTTTGCTCTTACGCCACCAGTCTAAAGATAGTCCCAAGTCAAATCTATTTCATTATATACACTATGATCTCTACCCTTTCCTATAATCAAACAAGCGACTACAGGTCGTATTACAGGAGACATTTGGCAGATCGTGAATCATGAAGCTCTGACTAAGCCCTTGTCTGCCTCCCAGCTGAAGGTGGCTTATCTTCTCAAATTAAATAGGGTGACCTCGAGAAGAAGAAACTTATTCCTAGCGGCGCGGCCAGATTTTCTACTGGTCTACCAATTTCGGCATCAACATATCACAAGACTCAGCCGGGGAACGGAGTCGATTTCGTGCTTAGCAAACGAAGATGCAATATCAGCAGCTAGTAAACAATATTCTGACCGTATATTCCAGGGGTCAGAGAATTCTTTTCGAGACTTTCCGTTCAGGGTAGTGATCTGCATGTCTCGTCTTACCCGTTGGTACGGCCCCCCCGCCAAGAAGCCCAGTATGGCAATACTCTGCGCTGCGTTACATTGAACTGACGGAACAGATGTACATTTTGGTGGTAATGCCCTATCATATGAGGGGCTGCAAGGAGTTTGCATTTCGCGCCCAGGTCGAAACACATTTAGTCTGCAGGCCCAAGGTATTTATTAAGAGATTTGCTCTTCAAATGACGCGAATTTTTTCCCCA